AGGCACAGAACTGGACACAGTACTCCAGGTAGGGCCTTACCAGGGCAGAGTAGAGTAAGCAACATACAAGTTACTGTATCTATCTCACGAAGTTGCAGGCTAGTAAAACTAAAAAAGCACTATCTGCAAAACTGGTCTGTCTTGGAAAATTGTCCCTGACTCAGCACTTCCCTTGCTCCTTAGCTGACTCAAGCAGTAAACCCAGAAACCCTAGCTGTGCACTTGTTTGCCTGGAAGAGTCAGGTCCTGTTTAGGTTCCCATTTCTTCAGGCTTCTGCAGAGCAACCCAGTTTACTTGGAAGCACAGATCTGTCAGCTGGCAACTGCTTTGTATGACTTGAGGAAGAGAGGCATATTTTGTTTTGGAAACACCAGAACACTACAGCGGTGGGAACACTTTAGGGTTCCCAAAGTGTAACAGGCAGCATTTTGTTCCTATTGAAGCTGGACTTTCAGACCATAGGATGAGGTACGTAGGACGGGCTGTTCAAATTCTTCCCAGTTCCCCCCCCGGGGAAAAATCAATGATGCCAAACTGAAAGACAACTCCCCAGTCAACTTCACATTTTAGCTGTAACAGTATCCAAGTTAAATGCATGGATCTTCACATGAATTGCTCTGTACACAACTGCAACAATTCTCCTCTTTTCCTGGCTACTTTTAGTACTAGTAAGCAAAATTTAGCAGAGTATCCTATTCAAAGAACAGACCCAGAATGGTTTTCTTTTGATCCTGATCTCCATGCTACATACTCTGAGTTTACTTCTAGACATGGCAATTTGTGTTAAGTGGGTTCTTAATTTCATTGTTCCACTTATCAGAGTGGGCGGGCATTGCTTCATAATCAACCTTGGGGACTGAGCTCCCACAACAGCACTAGTTATTTCGTGAGCCATATGTTCTTTGCCCAGAGTATCTGTATTGCTTATAAGTTTATGTAAATTTGACTTCCTCTAATCTAGAACAGTCTGAACTCTAATAGGCTTCTGGTATTATTGTAATGTGGGGATGTTCAGTGTTCTTGCCATTTCTAAATAGCACTGTTCTTACAGTCACTCACAGTCTTCATGTTTTGTTCTAGAACCTGATCATTTGAACTATTACACTTCACACAGAGAGTCTGAAGATTTCCTTTGGAATTGCCCCCACCCCAACACTAACCACCCCAATGTCCGAAGCAGCTGTGGCTTTCATGAACACCGTCTGCCTAAAGGTTTATCGGCCCCTCTCTCACTTTTCAAGCAGCATATGTATTTTAAGCACAAAATAAAAAGAAAAATCCAGACTTTTAAATCCTCTCTAAAATAGTATTTGCTGAATGTTACATAACTAAAACATCTGCATAGAAGTTGTATACCTAACAGCTCCTTAGATCTCTATCTCCCTTAAAAATACCATAATTTTGCATACCTGCTGGATCAGCTGCTGGTATGCTGGATTTCTTCAGCTTTTTATGGGGGAAGACAGCAGACGGAGGTTTTGAAGAGACTTTATTCACCTCTTTCTCAGATTCCATCACTACCAAGCACACATCTGTGAAGAGGAAAAACAGTTCCTTTTCTTTCCAGACCCTTTGATTCTCTTGCTCTGTGCTGAGAGCAGTAACCATAGTCAGAAAGTTTTGCCCTATAGCAGGCCTGCAAAAAACATTCTCATGTAGAATCCTAACCAGGACATTCTTATGCCTGAATCTCACACAATGTGCCTTTCATATTCTGGTGGGCTGAACAGAGAAAGAAGGATGTACCTAAACAATATTTTTAAATACCTACATGCACAAAAAAATACAAGAACAAGTTAAACTAAAGAGGAAAAAGATGAAACCTCTCAGTTAATACCAACTGGAAACACCTCAGACTTCAGAAACCTGTTAACTGCGTTGATTCAGCTGTAGCACTTAAGGCTGTGCTTATCATCAAAATCAGCCATAAAGCATGCCGATGGCAATGGCCTCTCCCCAAGCATTTGTCACCCCAAATTATACTCAGTGCAGCCGTAATACCACTCAGAAAGTATTCCCAACTCAAGAGCAGAAAGAAAATGCCCTTGCAATGCTAAAGGATCATGCCTTTTAGCTGGAGAAATGCTGAAGTAGAAGAAAACAAAGGCAGAGGAACACAACACTTCCAGCAATTCTAATTTAGATTCTAAAAAGTCTGCTGCCGTTCTCTGCCAATGCACAAGCAATCCTGTGGAATGGCAATTCACTCTTGAGCTTATCTTATTCTAGAGGGTCTCATATAAGGCTGCCTAAGATAAAACTAGGCTTTTAGAACTGTTTAACAGTTCTGAGCCAAACAAAAACATTTTCACTACAACTGAAAAAGAATGGCTGCTTTAGCAAATCTGTGTGTATGTTTAGACTTACACTGACTCTTGGGTTCCTTTGCTCTTCTACCCAGAAATGTTTTCAATGCAACCACCAGTTCTTTAGTTAAGAACTATCTACCCAGTTTGTTCACTCTGAAGAGGCTGAACCATCAATTAGGCCATCTGTTTTCGGGTATTTCATGGTGAAGAATCTATGCTTTCTTCTTGTACAACAACCATATATGCAGGTTAACCTGACTCTAAAGGTTAACAAACTCAGGGTCAGAACCTATTTGATAAACAGCACTGTCAACTACAACAGTAGGAGACTGTCAGTCCCTATCAGGACTGGGCCCTTAGGAAGGAAGAAAGGCCCCCACACATACCATTGGCAACACTAGTGACCTGCTTCAGCACTGGCTTTTCCATTTTTTTGGCGTAAAAAGCTGCATACCACACTCGCAGCTCAGTTCCTGGTGGGATGTCCCGGGAGGTGGTGAAGTAAATATCATTGTCATGCTGGAAGGCAGTTAAGTTTTGATGCTCATATTCTGTGGCTGGTCGCACCATCATCATCCAGTTGCAATCATCTTCATTTGAGGTGTCAAAATACACCAGGGGCCCATCCTTCTGGAACACCTGCCAAGCAAAATATGCATATAATAAAACCCTAATAAATAATACAAAGTTAGGAAGAATTTTTATTTTCTGCTTTTGCAGTGGCTTCCATTCAATGTACATCAGAGACAAGGCAAGCCTCAACACTTGCATCAGGCATGTTTCATGTATCAGTCACATCCTCAGATGAGTAAGTCCAAGACAGACGACCAGGGGCAGGATGGGAACAAACTGAACTTCTAACCTAAGAATTCTTGCTATAGCCACCACTTTCTCACAAAATTTGAATACAGGAGAATGGAGAGGAATCCAAACAGCACACTGTGAAACACCCATCAGACTGTGTCACATTTCTAAATCCTTATTTCTGAGTTAAGTATTACTGAAAACTAAGACTGAACTCAATTATTACCATAGCATTTTTCCTACCAAAACTTGTCAAAAGAATAAAACAAATGCAAGACAGAAAAAAAAAATAAATTTATTCTGCAAGTTCCATAAACCTAATGCACTCGTTAAGCAAATATAATTAAATTGAAGAGACTCATTCAAACAACTGAAATGAACTGCCATAGTCATTGTCTCTCTTGTATCATCGCATACAGAAGGTGAAAGACAAGCAGTTGTGCTGATTGATCCTAGCCCTATCTCCTATAAGGATGTTCACTTCAAACATGCAGAACAACCCTCTAGTTTGGTTCTTCTGTATCTTGCCCAGAGAATGCTTGTTCAGCTAGTCTGTCACAGGGCACGCCTAAAACACGTTCCAAATATCTACGCATAATTTTTTTTCCATAGTGTTAGATAGCATAAATTCATCACGGGAAAAACAGACTCCCTGTTATTGCTTTTCATGTGCCGTATCTTACCTTCAGGGGAAAAACTGATTCTTTTTCCAGCTTGGCAACTCTCTTGGATTCAAATGGGCCAAACTGGGTACGTTTCACGAGCTGAGTCAGGGCAAACACTCCTTCAGTCCCATCTTCCAATTGTCTTATCTCCAAATTAGAAGGCAGAGATGATCTAAAATTTCAAGGGAGAATTGAGAAAAAACAGTTACACATAGGACAACGGTGCGGGAACCCATGGAAGAAATGGGTTTTCTCCAGTCTCCAGTGACAGCAAAGTTTTCTGATGAATACACCCTAACTTCTATGAGGATTTATAAATAAACAGAGAAGAACAACTACCAGCAGTGGAGGAGGGCCAAATCAGTGATTACTTAAGAGGGGTCAACGCTTGTAAGTCCAGGGACCTGACAGGCTGCACCTAAGGGTGCTGACAGAGCAGTCCAATACCATACTGTTGTCTGTCATCTTGCAAAGATCACGGGCATCAGGGGAGGTCCCTGATGACTGAGGAAAGACAAATGTTGCACCCATCTTCAAAAAAGGCCAAAAGGATGATACAAGGAACTACAGGTTGGTCAGCCTCACTTCAGTCCCTGTGAAAAATCACGAAACAAGATCTTCTCGAAGGCATTTATGGGCATGCGAGGAGAAGGTGGAAACAGTCACCATGGAACGGTGTTTCTTCTCCTTAGTCTTACATTTTACAACTCCATATGAATTTTGCTGACAATGCCCGATTGCCTTTCTCTGTAAAAAACAGTCACCGTGTGAGGAGAAGGTGGAAACAGTCACCATGGAATGACCAAGGGCAACTCATGCCTGACAAACTGTTTGCCCTCCAGGGTAAAATGATCAGGTCTGTGGATGAGGGAAGGGCAATGGATGTCATTTCCCTTGACTTTAGTAAGGCTTTCAACACTATTGCTGTATCCAAGTTGGGATGTCATGGTCTGGATGAGTACACAACTACCAGAGTAAATAACTTGTTGGGTAGTCAGGCTTAGAGGGTTGCGATCAATGGTTCTTTACCTGGAGGCCACAACAACTGGGGTATCACAGAGGTCTGTGCTGGGATCTGGTACTGTTTAACATCTTTATCAATGACTTATAATGGCAATGGAGTGCACTCTCATCCAGTTTTTAGGTCACACTAACTGGGGGACACAGTGCAAACATCTAAGGCAGGACTGCTATCCAGAGCAACCTGGATAGCCTGGAGAGACACACTGACAGGAACCACCTGAAATTCCAAGGACAAATGCAAAGTCCTGCACCTGGGAAGGAAGAACCCCAGCCAGTACCATCACCAGGGAGAAAGACACTGTGGGTGGCAGTGGCCGGCATGAGGCCATAGCATGTCCCAGCAGCAAAGGGGGACAAATGCATCCTAGATGGTATGAACAGGAGCAGCCAGTAGACTGAGGCAAATGATTGCCCACCTCCGCTCTGCACTTGCTAGATCCTATCTACCTATTGCCTCCTGTTTCGGGCTCCCAACATGGGAAAGACAATGACAAACTGGAGTGAGCTCAGGGGAGGACCACCAGGATGGTCAAGGGCTAGAGCCGTCACCCTGTAAGGAGAGGCTGGGGAAGCAGAGCTCGATCAGCCGGAGGAAGAGATGGCTGTGGCGGCCCAAACAGCCCCCTGTGCACCTCTACAGGGATGTCATTAAGACAAAGGAGTCAGGCTCTTCCCAGGGGCTCATGGCAAAAGCAGAAGAGACAGTATGCATAAAACCAAAAAATGAGCGGT